GATCAAATTGACTTTAAGACAAAAACCACCATACGAGACAAAGAAGGACATTATATAATGATTAAAGGATCAATTGAACATGAAGATACAACCATCTTCAGTCTTTTTTAAAGAATAAAAATCACGTCGTTTTTAAAATAATGCATACTTGTTATAGAAATTTAATCAATGCAGAAAGAACAAAAAGATATTTTAAAATAACATTCAAATCCTACCAGCCAGAAATAATTGCCATTAATTTTGAATAAACATCATTTCAGATATCTTTCTATGTATGGATGTATGTAAAACTTTTATAAAAATGCAGTCATACTATATGTGCTGTTTTGAATTAAAAGTATTAAATTTAATGTTACTTTAACAGAATGCTGATCTGAAGAAGGGATTGCTGAACTTTCAATAAATGTTTTTTCACCACATTAGATATTCTCATTCATTCTTGAGTCAAGGTATAACCTTTTACCCCACTTTAATTTGAAAGTTTAGTTGAAAGGGTTTCATTTTGACCACTCAATTAAGATAGAAGAACTAAACATTTGGGAGTGACATCACCTTTCCCTTTCATCAAGATTATTTACTTGCATTAGACTTATTTCACGTGCATGCGACTTCAGTATTTTCCATATATATGCCTAATCACAAAAGAGTATGCTAAAAAGAGTCACACAGGAATATATTTTCTCAGTATTACCAAAAACATAATTGTCTCTGTCCTGAGTTTAAATTTCCAAAAACAGAACAGAAATATCAGACTTTAGGATAGTGAGTAGAAGGGAGTAAGGAGTATAGGTAGGTAACATTCATTGTTGTTGTTGTTATATGCCATCAAGTCGGACCCGACTTATAGCGACCCCTCCTTGGGTTTCTGAGGCAGTATCACTACAGAAGTAGATTGCCCCGTCTTCCTTCCGAGGACTGGTTGGTGGGTTTGAACCACCAGCCTTCTGGTTAGCAGTCAAGTGCCTTAGGCACTATGCTACCAGAGCTCTGCTATATACTCTTCGCACTATGCCACATTAAATCATGCTCCTGTGTCTAAAAAAAATTAAGTAGTAAGACTGACTATTCTTGTTTATGGTGCTGCATAACAGAATGCCTGGCACTGGAAAAAGAAAATAAAAATAGAAGAGTAGTACTAGCATGAGGAAAAGAAGCACTGCTATGTTACCCTACCCTAAGATATAGGATAGTATGGGCCTTGGAGTTAGCAGGAACTATATTCATATCCCTGCCTCACTACTGACTTGTTTTGTGGTGTTGAGTGAGTTACCAATTTTGAGCTGCTTTTTCCTCATCTGAAAATCCCCACCTTGCAGGGAAGTTATGAAGATGAAATGAGAGAATGCATGTAACATATTTAGCAAATAGAATAAAAAAGAATATATAGATGGGTAAAAATGTATACCAAATAAACTGATCTTTTGTTTTTATTTTTTGTTTTTGTTAGAATACCCCATCTACTATGGGCTACACATCAACATGGATTTCTTCTCTGTCCCAAATCCGTGGAGCTGTCCCAACTTCCTTACCACAAGGACTCTCACTCTCTTCATTTCCTGGGTCATTATCATCATATGGAATGCCCCATGTTTGTCAGTATAATGCTGTTGGGGGGACAGGGTATCCAGTACAGTGGGTAGGAATTTCGGGAACAACACAACAGTCTGTAGTAATTCCTACCCAATCTGTGGGACCGTTTCAGCCAGGGATGAATTTGCAGGCATTTACATCTTCACCAGGACATAATCCAGCCACAATGCCTCCTGGTCCCAAATGAATCAGAGTAGATGAAGAAAAGGGAGATTTTCCTAATTATTTTCAGGACACCTAAGATATTATTTCTTCTTGGGGTCTGCCATGTTTTTCCTCATTTAAGTTTACTTTCAACTATTTCTTTTTTCTGTTTCAGTGTAGTATTTGATACAGCTCGTCATTCTATAGAAATACGCACACTGCACATAGGAATGATTTTTCACTTCAAATCCTATCCTCTTTGATACTTGATTTTTAAAAAAATACTGCTCAGTGTTTTAAAGATTACTGTTCAGTAAAATACTGCTTTAATAAGCTTGGCTTGAGCATTATCATTTCCAGGACAGTTTCCACGCATTGCTGAGAAGCCCCTGTTTTTTACTGCTACTAACTGCAGCTGGATGATACTTTTCCTCAAAGTGAATAAAAATTATGTAAATTGATTCTCCCCAAACAGGATGAAGTGAGACCCTCCAACAGCCAGAAACTTATGGATTCTTCCCATGGTTATCTTAGGTTTACCTTTCACAGCAGGCCGGGTAACTTGCTGCAAGGAACTTTTTTTGTGTGTAAAATTAGAATAACTTTGTCAACCAGTACAGAATATGAGCCCTTTTTAATGTGATTTTCTTCCTGTCCTCGGAGCAGTAGGAGTGATTCCTTGTTTTGGGTGAGGCAGAGGGAAAGGGGAAAACAAAACCGTAGCAGTTCCTTAATCCTGCAGATACTGTAGCTGCTTTAAGAATTCAGTAGTAATTCAAAGCATCTCTGAGTAAATCAGCTATGCTTGTTTCTCACATGTGCATTACATTGTTTTTGAGCATCTGAGAGTCATTGGTTGGGCGTCCATTCTTTTCAAGGGATATGTTGTAGTTGTTATGAACCTCATTTGGGGGAAATCCTTGTATTCCTAACAAAGAAGATTCAAGTTACAGCTCTGTTGTTCTTCTGCAGTGAAATTTACTTGACACAGTAGGTTTTGTAGGTTGTGATTCTTATACATGAAACACTGGCTTTACAGGGTGATAAGAGGTATAGGGTATACACTATTCTGCAGTGAGATAGTAGACCCTTGAATGATACTATTTAAGTTGCCCTTAGATTCTTTGGATTACCTTTTTTTTTTTTTTTTTTTAGTTATAATTTCTTGTTAGAATCTGTAGCATCTTAGATGATTTTAGATCTTAGGTGATTTTTGGCACCCTCTTTAGAATCTGAGAGAGATCACTGTCAAGTTGCACTTTACTGCTTTTTATCCAATTTTGGGAGGAGAGGATGCAATGTCAAAATGAACACTTTTGGTTTTCAAGAAAGTTAACTTAAAAGGTTCACTTTTAGGGTTAACCTTAAAAGGCTGGTCACAGGGTTACCTTATGCCCAGACTGTGAAACCCAAATAGAATTCTTAAATGGTATTCATCAACTACCAAGTATACATGTTTAACCTACTTTTCTCTCAAGATTTCAAGGTCGTTTCTAGTACATCCTTACCTAATTAGGAGTTCTGTCTGCTGGTAAACATTCCAAATTGTCATGCAACATTTCTGCTAACGGATTTTCCTCCATGTTCCTCTAAAAATTGTACTACATGGGGTTTCCAGATAATGAGGGAAACTTAATGAGTATAGGTTTGTTTTGTTTTGTTTTGTTTTGTTTTGGCTCAGTTTACTTTGTGACATTCAGTACTCTTTTTCCGTATCTTATTTTGCTTACCTGAGGATCACACCTATCATAAAGATTCTGTAGCTGTCATTTGGGTCATGTAGGGCAACATTTTGAGAACTGCTGTTGATAAGAACCATAGTTTCATAAAACAGTCTGTTTTGAATGAGTCCACATCTTACGTACAAATTCTTCAAATTTCTTCTACAGTATTGGTTTGCAAATTGAAGTGATGTTAGGACATTAGTGTAGTGGTAAATGCTTGCACTGCCGTGTTTTCCATGTGTTACCAAAAAAAAATGCTCCTAAAATCCATAATTCTTTAAAACTGCTCATGTTTGATTGTAAGAGTTGGCTTTGTGTAATTACATTGAAACATAAAACCTATAAACTGAAAATACTGCAGGTTTTAAGACCCCTTCTTCTCTAGTTGCAATCTTTTTAAACAGTGTACCCCAGGATGAAAAAAGTTCCATGGATGACATACGCAGTTACATTTATTAATGGCTCCTCTACACTGTATGTCCAGCATTTTGCCATCATCTCTGTTTTACATGTAATTCATCATTCTTGTTTGCCTGCAGACTTTTGCAGTGCCTTGTGATATTTAGAATCTTTTCAGGTTTTTACTGAAAAGTAGTCTTCTAAAGTTTGAAGATGGTGAATACTGTACTGCTGTCTCCATGGTGACTGCAGTAGTTGGGTTTAACATATATGTTATGTATACATTATGTGTATGTAATGTGTGTGTAAGTTTAGAAATACATTTAAAAAATGAGTTTTTGCAGAAATGAAGGAAACAGTGTTATTCACATAACTGGGTTTTTATTTCTTTTTCCCACTATTTGATTCAGCTTATAGTCACTTTGACTATAAATATTGACTAGTTTTTTTTTATTTAGGGGTTTTACATTATTTCATAATTTTGCCAACTCATATATTGCTGTTTTCATCCTTGCTGCAGTACATTGGACTTTCTCTCCCCAGAAATAAATAACTTTTGAGGTAAAACTCACAAATTCCCTTCTTACTTGACAAAAAGCCTACCATTTAAAAAGGGCCTTCTACCCACTTCCAAAAAACACATTCTTCTTGTAGAAAAGAAAAAGGTTGTATTTAACCATCCTGCTTGTAAAGTTTATTTGTGGGGCAGGGCAGTAGTCTATATGTCCAGCCATCATGTTTACCTCTCAGAGTGCAAGTTTGATGAATAGTTACTGTATCTCCATTACTGTGGCAATGTGAGTATTTCATCATGAAGTACCTGCTGCTATGTCTGTGAAGTTGGGTGTAACATCTTAAATATGAAAATAACCCTATGTATATTTGTAGCAGTCTTGAATCTCTATTTAAGGTAATTTGCTATAATATAACAAATATCCATTCTGTTTTTCATCCCTTCCTTGCCAGTTTTATGTCAAGCATGAATTCTGATGGTTTGACAGCAAAATTATCTGTGAAAGTTTAAAAGACACTTTTCTGCTGTGATTTTTGCATTTGAGTATGGAGTGTTATGTATAGTATGATGGGATATATCATTTTAGAACCCCGGATTTAATTCCAGTCCAATTACTTTTGTTTATCTACCTCGTTTTCAGTGCTGTTTTGGGATATACAAGTAAACACTGCCTGTGAAACTTGGGTTTTTTGTTTTGTTTTGTTTTGTTTTTGCCTTGATTCTCACTGTTCTTTCAGGTTATAAACCTGGCCTGCCTCCTTGTGCTAGCCATGAGTTTGAGATGAGAGGGACCATCTCTCTACCACTTATCTATGTTTAAGTTACAAGAATATTGCGCCTCTGTGAAATAAGCTGTGGAGAGTTGGGGATGGAGAGCAGAGACACAGATCCAGCTGGTGGCAATATGGGACTTAGTTATAGGAGTTAGTTATAAAATAA